CATCCCAGCCAGTGGCAGCTCCTTTCCTCCAAACTCTTGGGCTCCTCATCTTAGAGTCCTCTTTGCCCCTTCTCTCTCTCTCACCCCACACCCACTCTGTCAGCAAGTGTTCTGGGTTCGATTTTCCATACATGTGTCCAGAATCTGACTGTTCCCATCACCTGTGTGGCTACTGCTCCGCAAGAGCTTCCTCATCTCTCGCCTGGATTACAGCACCAGCTTCCTAGTCCTTCTTCTGCCTCTGTACCTGCCTTGTCATACCCAAAACCTGTAACAGGGCTGGGGATTTAGCTCAGTGGCAAAAGCGCCTGCCTGGCAAGAGCAAGGTCGTGAGTTCGGTTCCCGGTACCGGAGAAAAACCAAAAAAAAAAAGAAAGAAACAAAACCTGTCACAATTCTGTTGCTGAAACAAAATACTCGAGAGCCAGAATTTAAAGGAGAGGTTTATTTTGGGTCACAGTTACAGTGCATGGGCACTTGGGTATAAAGCAGAAACGGCATAGCTGAGCTATGGGGGATGAACAACTGATCACATCATGGCATCCAGGAAGCAGATGCAAAAAGGGGGAGCTGGGGAGGGAGATATATCCTTCCAGGTTACAGCCCCAGTGACCCATCTCCAACCAGGCCCCTCCTAGCAGGCCAGCTACAGCACTGCCTTATCCAATCACCTTTATAAGCAAGGTGAATTTTTTAGTAACAGTGCAAATGTAAACCACAACAGTGACTCATCACATAGTAGCCATAATGAACAGGTAAATCTGTCAACCCCTGTTCAAAATCTTCTTCCAGCTTCACCCAAAGCCAGAATCCTTATGATTACCTGTTACTCTGACCTCAGCTTGTTTCTCTCTCCTGAGTTAGTCTGTCCCTGTCCCCAGCTCCTTTGCTTTCCTGTATAGTGCCAGGACCACTCCTACTTCAGGACCTCTGTATGCTGCATTCTCTAAATATGAAGTTCTTCCTCAAATGTCACTATGGTTTGTTTCATCTCCTTTAAGTCTTAAATCAAGTCACCATCCTGGTGAGCTCTTCCTAGCATCCTATTTTATTTGGTATTGATCCAGGCATGCAGGTGTACATCTGTAATCTTTGTACTATGGGGGCAGGGGAATAGAGGGATAAGAACTTTCAGGCACGGTGGGTGTTGCAGTCAGGGTTTTCAAGGGAACAGAGTTGATACAGGACACAATTTATAAGATGCCATGGCAACATCCTGCACAAGTCCAACTGGAGGGCTAAAGCCCATCACATCTCATGCTAGTCTGTATCAAGGATCTGCACTGGCAAGGACCAAAGGTCAGTGGTAGAAGCTAGAAAGTCTGCACCAGCGGGATGATCTGTGCCAGCAGGTGGAGGGATCTGCACTAGAGCCAGGAAGTGACGAGGTAAGGACCAGAGCTTTCCTGAAGAGGACCAGAGCTTTCCTGAAGAGAATCACAGCCATCCTCAGAGACACTGAGGACCCGAGCTCCTCCGATGATAAGAACAGCTGAGTTCATATCACGAAAACCAGTGCAACAGGCTTCTCCAGGAGGATCAACAGCAGCCCAATTTCCCCTCCAGTTCTCCACTTATGTTGCTGGCAACAATCTTCAGGTGGGTCTTTTACACCCAGAACCACACTGATTCAGTTCAGCTAGGTGTTACAAGCTGACCTTTAGTTAATCCATCACAGTGGGCAATTTCACAACTTAGAAAACCCGCTCTACCTTAAAAAATGGGCGTATTGGGGGTTGCAGCCAGAGTTTTCAAGGGAAGAGAGTTAACACAGGACACAATTTGCAAGATTATTTTATAATATTCACCCAAAACATCAAATGCAGAAGAGTGCAGATCTGTTCGCACACTAGAGACCCAAAAAATCCAGCTGAGGGCCTGGATCATTACCAGGCCCTGAGTTAAATACCCAGTAATGAAAAAAAAAACATCCCTATCATAAACATACTATGAATTCTAAAGGAAAAATAGACAACATGAAATAACAGGTGGGCAATGTAAACAGAGAGATGGAAATCTTAAGAACTTAAAGAAAATGCTAGAAATAATAAAACACTAAGAAAATGAAGATGGGCTGTTGGGTTCCACCAAGACTGAACAAGGCTGAAGAAAGAATCAATGAATTTGAAGAAATGTCAACAGAAATTTCCAGAACTGAAATGCAGAGGAAAACAAATGAAAAAGACAGAATATCCAAGAATTTGGGGATCATTACAAAAGATTTACACACAAAATGAAAATAGCAAATAAAGAATAAAGAAATATGTGCAGTAATAATGACTGAGAATTTCCCTAAAGAAATGATATCAAATGCAGATCTAGGAAGTCAGAGAAGGCAAGCATGACAAATACCAAACAAACAGAAGGACAGCAAAAAATAAATACAAACAAAACAAAAGCCAGCAGCACCCTGGCACATCATACCAAACCGCAGATAATCAAAGACAAAAAAACAAGTACTGAAAGAAGCAAGGAATAGGCCAGGGAAACTTTTCTAAAGAGAGGAAAGGGAAGAATTACATTAATAACCATTCAAAAACCATTTAATCGAGAATGGAGTGGGGTGACATATTTAGAGCACTGAAAGAGGAAAAAAAAAAAAGCCCTTCAAATCTAGTATTCTGCTGAAAGCAAAACGGCCTTTCAAAAAGAAGGCAGAAATACGTAAACAAAAGCTGATGGAATTTGTCACCAGTAGACTTGCCTTGCAAAACATTTTCAAAGAAACTCTGGAAAGAATGAAAATGATACAGGTCAGAATTCAATTCAATCTACATAAAAAAAGGAAGAAAACCAGAGATAGAATAAATGAATGAAAAAATGTACGATAACTACAATTTCACACACATCCAACCTGCGGTACTCTGTGACGAGGTGTGCCATGGCCAATTAAATACGTGGAGGCTGCACTCGACTCAGCAGCACATATACTGAATGTGTGGATCCTTTTACAAGACCGATCTAGTGGTGAGGAAAACAATGTGAGCTATTAAGTCTAGGAATTGAAGAAATGGCCCAAAAGACTGCGCAGCTTCACTAAATCTTTAGAAGGTGGTCAAGGCAGATTAACTTGGTCAACACAGTATACAGTGTGTGCCAGGTTCAGTGCTTGGTGATGGGCTCAGAGGCAGGCACTAGAAAGGATGACAAGAAGATAACAATATCAGTTAAGTTCAGTTTGCTTATAGTTGTGTGCACAACAGACATTTGGAAAAAGGAAACTTTTCAAGACTGTTACTTGTTTACTTATTCATATCTACTTGCAGTACTGGGGACTGAAACCCAGGGTCTCCCCACTGAGCTACATCCCCGGCCCTTTCGATTATTTTATTTTCAGACTACGTAAAGCATCTGAAAGTGACCCGGCTGAACTCTAACTTCCGATCCCCCTGCTTCAGCCACCTCAGTATGGGGATCACAGATGTGTGCCAACACCCCTGGCAAAATGTAATTTACAACTACATGAGACAAAAGAGTCGATACAGAAAAGCACAACAGAACTGCGCATATTTCTACCATCCAGGAAAAAAAAAAAAGGCTAACAACGTGATGTCCTTTTCAAAAAAATTTTTCCCTTCAATACTAGGGATTCAATTCAACGGAGTTCCACCACCAAGAAACATCCCCAAGCCTTTTAATTTTTCTATTTTTAGCAGGGGTGTGGCTCGGTGGAAAAGCGCTCGCCTAGAATCTTAAGGCTGTAAATTCCATTCCCAGCAATGAAAAATATATTTTTTTGCTATTTTGGGAGGCAGTCTCTCTACTTCCAGGTTAACTTCGACCTTGCGAGGCTCCTGTCTCAGCTTTCAGGGCAGCTGGGATTACAGGCAAGCACGGTACGTCAGAACAAACGTTCTATTTTTAATTTTATTTAACTCACACGTTCCTTCATTCTTTCGCGAGTCTGGGGATCAAAGCCGGGATTTCTCTCCTGCTAGGCAAGCCCTGCGCCACTAAGCAACACCCCAGCCTTGTATTTTATTTTTTAAAGGCGAGCCCTTCCCTGTTTGGGAAAAGAAAACGTCAGTTCTTACGGAAATGGCGCCGTGCAAGAGAAAGGCTTCAGATTTAAGGAATCCAACTTCAACAGAGGAAGGCGACGGAGAAACCAGGCAGTGTGATCTCCACTTTACGGACCACAGGTCGCAAATCGAGAAGGATCTGACTTCTTTCTACAGGTCTCGAGGAGAAAGGCAGAGGATGTAAAGGTCCGCAGAGGGATGGCCGCCACTCAACCGCCAGGTCTACCTGCGTAGAACACCAGTGGGAGGAGCCGCGGAAGAGCGACCAGGCGCGATGTTATGACGTCAGGACGCACGTTTCTTTCTGGCCACCTATTGGTTCTCTTCTCCCGCACTTTCCAGGGCGGGAGTAAACAGCCTCAGAACTACAAGTGAGGGCCGGGCGGGTTGGCGCACGCCTGTAATTCCAGCACTTGGGAGGCTGAGGCAGGAGGATCACTGTGAGTTCGAGACCAGCCTGGGCTACAAAGTGAACGCAAAGTGAGCACGGTTAAGGTGTAATGCTAATCTGAACCGCACTGCGAGACCCTGTCTCAAAAAGACAAAAAAATTTTAAAAAATAGAACTAGAAGTGAGGTCTCTCGTGTTCCAGATAGCGGCAGCGCTTAAAGTTGAGAGATATAGTCCCCTGACAGAAGGCCTGTTTCTGAATTAAGGTTCTACAGCGAGACAGAAGGAGACTCCATAACTTTGGTGGCATACCGATGTGGCTGAGGGAGAAAGTAAACTGACCATCGCGGAACATAGGACTCCACTCCCAGAGGACTGCCAGAAGCCCAATCCTTAGAGAAGGGTTTAGAAGGCTCACCGGGGGAAGGCACCAGAAGGGGTCTCCCGGGACGTACCCCGCCGATCATGGCCAGCCCCAAGGGGGCCGGTCCCGCCACTTGGCGCTTCGCCGCCGCAGCCAGCTGGCGAGTGGTGCGCGGACGCTGCGTGGAGCATTTCCCTCAAGTCCTCCAGTTTCTGCGCTCCCTGCGCGCTGCCGCCCCCGGCTTGGTTCGCTACCGGCACCACGAGCGCTTGTGTATGGGCCTACAGGCCAAGGTATTGGAGCGAGGAGGCCCCGGAAAGGGGAGGGGTGCGAGGACCTGTGGAGGGCTATCAGGCTGGGGGTGAGACCCGTCTGAAGGGGTAGCTTGGCCGAAGCGGGCTTCTGAGCTCAGTACCGTGCAGGTGGTGGTGGAGATGATCGTGCAAGGCCGGCCTTGGGCTCAGGTTCTGAGTGTCCTGAATCGCCACTTCCCAGAGTCTGGACCCGTACCGCGGGACCCTAAAGCCGTGAGTGATCCCTGGAACGAGCCCTGACCCCGGTTAGGCTCAGTGCACCGAAACTGCCCCTTCTCCGACCACTGCATCCCGGCGTCCCCAACTCTTCTGCCTTCCGTATCCTTCCTCCACAGACAAAGCGGGATCTGAGGAAGATTTTGGAGGCCCGGGAAACCTTTTGCCAGCAGGTGAAGCAGCTGTCACAGGCCCCTGTGGATGTGGCCTCAAAGCTGCAGGTGAGAGCAGCTGTTGTGAAGGCTGTCCGGTGGCTCCTGTTTTCATCCTGCTCTTCTGACCTGCTTCTTTTTCTGCTCAGCAGGAGCTTGAAGAAGAGTATGGGGAACCCTTCATGGCGGCCATGGAAAAGCTATTTTTTGAATACCTGTGTCAGCTCGAGAGAGCACTGCCTGCAGTACAGGCACAGCAGGTTTTGTTGGGGCAGAGCACAGGGGCAGAGTGTGGGGTGCTTGTATCAAAAGCTGTGGTCTTCATGGCTGTCCTCCCCACAGCTTCAAGATGTGCTGAGTTGGATGCAGCCTGGAGTTTCTGTGTCCTCTTCTCTTGCCTTGAGCCAATATGCTGTGGACATGGGGTGGCCACTTCCAGGTACCAGGACCATCTGGGAAACTAGCCATTTAGGGGTGTAGTGTTTAGCTGGACATCATTTGAGTCGGCCCATTGGGAGTTGTGTGGGCCTGAGGTGGTATCTCTTGTCCTTATGAGGAACCCTGCTTCTTTCTTTCAGAGCACTTAGTTTCTGATTCAGTGAACCTGACCGAGCCCGAGAGACAGAATCCTCCTAGGCAGTCAAGACCAGCTCTCCACAGTCCTCTGCCAAAAGCCAAGGCCAGTCCTGGGAGACCAGCCTCAGGGAAGCGTCCCGAATCTTTTGCTGGCCACCGCTTCAATCTGGCCCCCCTAGGCCGGCGAAGAATCCAGTCCCGATGGACATCTGCAAGGGACGGCTATAAAGAGCGCCCCACGGTCATGCTGTTGCCCTTTAGGAATCTGGACCCACCGAGCCAAGTCATTGCTCAACCTGAGAGGAAAGAGAGTGGGATACACACAGCAGACGCAGCAGGTGTGGGTGCAAGAGCAGCCTTCACTGGCAAGTCCAAGAGTCCCTCTCAGATGGAGGAGGAAAAGGCTGTGAAGGACACCCCACCTGCCCTGTCTGCCTCAGAGCAAACGGAGTGAGTAGAAGAGTTGCTTCTCCCTGCTAGGAGCACACTCTTTGCCTTCTTTCCCCTCACCCTGCCCTCTGCTTGCTTCTGTCTCAGGAATTGCTTGGACCCCCTGAAACTATCCTTATCACCTCCAAAGGCCAAGAAGCCAGGTAGGTGGGCCGAGTCGGGATTGGATCAGACAGCCTGTTGCCGTGGGAAAAGAAATTTGATTCTGGTTTCCTTCCTGCAGCACGTCCTCCATCTCTGACCACCTCGGTCATTACCATAGGGGACTTTGTTTTGGACTCTGATGAGGAAGAAGATAGCCAGACAGAAGAAACGGTGAGTAGGAAGGAGCAGAAAGCTGGGGAGAAGGATGGGCAGAACAAGACTTGAGAGCCCCCTGGCTCCAGGATAAGAAGAGTGGAAATCATGTCCAATGTTAGGACCCCACTACTCCCTTCTTTACAGGAGTTGCTGGGAAACTATCAGAAGACAAAGTATGACACCCTGATTCCCACTTTCCGTGAATACCTCCCCACCTGTGGCCCCAGTGCCGTGCCTGCTCCTTCCTGTGACTTCACAGACAGCTCTAGATCCCTGTGAGACCACTGCAGTGCCCTCTGCATTGTTTTCTCAGCTCTGCAGGCAGCTTAGTGGGAATGAAGTGGAAGCCCAGTTGTGAGTTGCCTGAATAGGTTGCTAAAAGCAGTATAATGCTCATGTGTGTATGTGTGGTACTGGGGTTGAACTCAGGACCTTGTGCATGCTAGGCAAGCACACTACCACTGAGCTACATTCCCGAGCCCAAAGCAGTGTAATGCTTGATAATTAAATTCTGGATTTGTCACAACCTTGTCTTGTTGTGAGATAGGGTAATTAAGGGTTCTGTGGGTCAGAAGAGATTGTTCATTAGAACTGGCCTTGCTTGAACTGAAGGAACCTCTCTGCCTTTTTCCTTCCTTGGAAAGTGTTACTCACAGATGCCTAGAAGGGTTACCATGGTGATCCTGGGGGTCAGTGCTGATCCTAAATCTGCCCACCCTGGAACAGCACCCAGATACCAGCACTGTGCAGAGACCCAGCATGTCTTCACAGCCCATGAGCTCTCTCTTTATTTATTTATTTATTTATTTTATTTATTTTTTTTTCCCCTGGTACCGGGAATGGAACTCATGACCTCACGATTGCCAGGCAGGTGCTGTGCCACTGACCTAAATCCCCAGCCCTGCTCTCTCTTTATTGAAGTATTTTAATATATCAACACTTCTGAGCTTGAGATACCTGAGGATGTCATTTAATGAAGCTAATTAACAAAACGTGATTGTAAAAGCTTCTTTCAGATCAAGGCCCTATAAAACCCACATCAAATCAACATCTTTTCCTCTTAATCTTCAGGATTCTGGGTCCCCACGTTCCCATTTAAATATCATCATTTCCTCATTCTGTCTTCTTCCTAGCTTCTGCCCCAGTGAGTACCCTGGGCATTGTGTGTGCAGATGAAAGAACTAGAGAGTTACTGCAGGAGCCCTCAGGAATGAGATGATAGGAAGTCACAGTCATACACAGGCACAGTAGCTGGTGTGGGTGAGGAACCAGTTGGGTGCCCCAGCAGTGGAGTCCCCCGGTGGGCAGAACTTCTCAGGTCTAGCGTGCATCACCAAAGATTGGATTCACTTGCTGGGTGACTCGGATGAAGGTAGTTCTCCGGCTCAACTCTTTCAACTTAGCTGCTCCCACATAGGTACATGTGGATCGGATTCCCCCTAGGATATCACGAATGGTATGTTCTACATCCCCTTTAAAAGGAACTTCCACTATCTTTCCCTCCGAAGCCCTTGAAATAAGAAAAACATTATTACCTTCTTGTTCTGGATTCCTTAAACCCAATGACCCTTCTGTTGCTAGCATTTAGCCCCATTTCAACATTTCCTCCTGGAATTGTACCATATTCTCCTAGAAGCCGTGAGTTCTGACACCACACTACACAGATACATTCTCCAGCTGCTAGGCCTCCATATATACCTGTATTCAGCCACACCGCCAGCATACTTCTTCATGGCCATTTCAGAACTCATTCCGTAGAAAAGCTTGTACTTCTCGCCATCCCTTTCAATGAGCTCACCACCTGACTCACTGTGCCCAGCCAGCATGCCACCCAGCATCACAAAGTCAGCCCCTGCCCCTGCCAAAATCAAGAAAGTCGGGAAAAGATAAAGCTGGCCAAGGTGCCCACATTCCCGCCCTTGAAAACAACTCATGCCAAATTCTCAGTCCTGAATAGTGAGTGACTCCAGCATCCTCCCAGTTGATCCCTAGTTGCCCCACATTCCACACAGGCCTGGTGTGTACTGGCCTTTACTCAGAGGACCCAATTTGCTCAAGACTTTTTGAAGAACCTCTGGGAATTCCCTGCCTGATTTCTGCTCTTTGTTTTGTTGCTTTGGCCATCAGCTGGTCATTTCATTTTACTGCTTCCAGGTGATTAAGACTTCAAGTCTCCTGAGACTGGAGGTTTCCCACATTAATGTAAGGCTCACTTGGGAAGCTGTGAAGAATGCAGATTTATAGCCCCATTCTTCAAAGGCGATTTTGGTAGATCTTAAGTGAGGCCCAGGAATCTGCATTGTGCAACAATTCAGTGGACAGTGGAGACGGTACTGCCTCATACATGGAGAATCCAAATGAAAGTCTCAGATTTCTCCTGTTGGTTTGCACTGGGTGATAACCATGGGCAAATGTCAGTGGAATCAGTTCATATTACAAAAGCCTGAATAGCTTCCTGAACCCATTCTCGTCTGGCCCTAGACCCTCAGGGGTGAATCACCCTCTTCTACAGGATCTTCCTTCTGTGCCCTCCCAGCTTTCTTACCAAAAGCTTTTGCCACATCCCCAGGACAGCTACAGCCTCCATCCTGCAAAGTAAGGAACACTTTGTGGGGACAGCACGGATTTCCCAAGCTTTGTCAGCAGCATCCCAGTGGCCCACCTTAAAGCTGATAGAAACCCAGGAATCCCAACCCATCTCTACCAGAGCCTCCACACTGCAGAAAACTCATCCTCATATCTGATCCACCCCTTGAGTCTTACTGAAATGATGTGGCCTTTGAGGCCATGAGCAGCATCGGCACACTCCATCACGGCACTGAGCTGTGGGTACCCCACTCCAGTTTTCTTCCGGGTTGTACACACAGAGCCTGGCATAGGACGTGACAAAGGTGAGAGTGAAGTGCTTTACAGATATTGACCTCCAAGAGTTCACCAGTGGCTTCAAAGACCCAGCTTACCTGGCCCAATTCCCACCTTGATGATGTCAGCTCCAGAAAGAATCAGCTCTTCCACCATCTCTCCTGTTACCACATTTCCAGCCTAAGCCACAGCAATCAAAATAGAAATGGAGAGGAGTTTGGATGTTTTCATAGACAGCATGCCTGGACACTGACTTTCCAATGTTATTATAAAGAAAAGGTACCAAGGTGCCCTCTACTAGGCCCTCTAAGAGCTTTTATACTAACTAATTCAAAGGGCTGTGTTTCCTAACCACTTCCCCTTGGTCCCCACACCACACTGCAGAGACAAGAATGGTGGGAAGCAGGGCGTTTTGAACAAAGAATGGCCAGTGTCACTGTTAAACTAGGGTAAATCCAGGGTCCAGGATGCATTACACTGCTTCAGGCAATAAAGTGGTATGATCAGTAGTGAGACACAAAGTAAGGCAAAGGAACTACTAGACCAAACTCGGATCTCAGTTACAAGTACACTTATCTCCCATTCACCACCAAGTGAGTCAGACATACCCTGTCCTACTGTATCGAAGAATGTCTCAGGCTTTAGGGAAGGAATAGTGATGTAGGCTACATATCCCTATGCCTTGGCTGTATTTGCCATTTTTACATTTTTTGTAGTACTGGGAGTCAAAACCATGGGTTCTGTACCACTGAGCTTTGTCCCCAGCCCCTTCTGTATTTTGAGACAGGGTCTCGCTTAGGTGCCAAGGCAGGACTTGAACTTGAAGTCCTCCTACCTCAGCCATCCAGACTGCTGGGATTATAGTGTGCACCACCATGCACAGGTTGTATTTGCTTTTGAAGGACAATACAAAGATACCTCCTTCAATGTCAATGATGAGGCCTCAACATCATTCCCCTAAGGGTCTAAGAAAATTGTTTAGTGTTATAGCTTTTATTTATTTATTTATTTATTTATTTTTGTCTTTTTGAGACAGGGTCTTGCTATGCAGTTCAGGCTGGCCTTGACCTCACTTTGTAGCCCAGGTTGGTCTCAAACTCACAACGATCCCCCTGCCTCAGCTTCCCGAGTGCTGGGATTACAGGCATGCGCCACCACGCCCAGCTAATGTTATAGCTTTTATATGATTGTAGTACATATCCATTTCAGGGGGTAGATGTTTATGTACCATGGGTTTGGTTTTGGGTGGTTTTTTTTTTTTGTCTTTTTTGAGACAGGGTCTTGCTATGCAGTTCAGGCTGGTCTTGTGCTCTCTTTGTAGCCCAGGCTGGCCTCAAACTCCCAACGATCCTCCTGTCTCAGCCTCCCGAGTGCTGGGATTACAGGCGTGTGCCACCATACCTGGCTGTTCCATGGTTTTATGCAGTTCCATTGTGGTTTGGTGAGTGATGTCAGGGACACTGGATTTACAAAGACTAAGAATCAAAGGTCAGAGATATTGCACTCATCAATTCATATTTTAAACTTAGAAACATGAATAATCACCCAATAATGTTATAGGGAGTTAAAATAGCATAATGCAGCAGAGAATAAACTGATACAACAAAACGGAGTATCAGGAAAGACAGGAATGTTCCAGCTACAGGATATAAACACCATGATAGTTAGGTGTGGTGCTACACACCTGTAATCCTAGCACTGGAGAAGCTAAGGCAGGAGGACTGCTGCAAGTTCAAGTGCAGCCTGGGCTACAAAGTGAGTTCAGGCCAACCTGAACTGCATAATAACCTTGTCTCAAAAAAAAAAAAAAAACCAAAAAGAAAAGAAACATACCATGATAGTGTGTTGGGGGAAGCGCTTCCGGACATCCTTTACAAATTCAACAAAGTGTTCAGAGTAACCATTTGCCACATCCAGGCATATATATTTCACCTCAGGAATAGTTTCCAGGATCTGTTCCAGCTGCTCAAAGTCAGAAGAGCCTGTGCCTGAGCTGGCAGCCAGATACTGTGAGAAAAACAAGGCCTTCGTATGAGAGGCATTACACTGTGGCATCGTATCAGATGATCTGGGGAGCAGCAAACAAGGGATAAGCATGAGGGTTGGTCCCCAAGAAGCCAAAAAAAAGGATTCCTGGAAAACTGGTAAGGAAGAGAGCAGGATAGGCCCAGTGTTACCTGAAGACAGTCAGGATTCTGGCTAGCAAATTCTTGCCACTGATCAAGGCTGTAGTGTTTATGGACAGCAGTGAAGAGGGAAAACTGGGGAGAAGAAAGAGAACCATCAAAAAGTAGAAAACTATTACTGTCTCTCTTCCTACAAATAGACTTTTCTACTATTCTGGGAGAGAAAATACTGGAGTTTGAAAGGAAAGCCACTTTTAGAAGTTCATGGTTAAGTTCAGATTTAATTCAATCATTATTCTCCCTACAAATCTCAGTAGGACTTTACCACATAAGCTAGTATTTGTCAAATATTCCTATCAGTGTACTGAGTTATATACACTGCATTTGATCTGCTAGCACATACACTGCTTCTGGCCTAGAAGGTGACAAGGAGAAGCTGTTGGTGTAGTGGAACAAGTAGCAGACACAAAGGATCTATGAAGAGACCAGATGGCGCCAGTGTTTGTCCTCACTTACTTGGCCTCTCCGGTAACCTAGTATGAAATGAATCCAATTTTGGTATCTTCTGGTCTACTTTCTGCCATTAACTCAGTAAGTCAAATGCCCAAAAAAGGTAAGGCCTTACAGTTAATGGAGCTGAGAAGGTGCCACCCCATTCTTTCTCCTTTTCTACTACAGTACAGCACACATTTTCTTCTTTTGGACATAAACATGAAAAGCCTGTTTCATTCATTTATTTCAGTCAACCAAATTCAGATACAAGGACTCATGAAACTCACATTCTCTGCTTCAACAAATTGCAAAGAATATCCCAATACTTTGGGAAAGGCATTTAAAAGGACCTGAATGTTGGTGTTTGTGCTTTTAAAGTGGAAACATGCAAACAGACAACAGACAGCAACTAAAGAAAAACCCAAGAAAGTTATGTACGAGCAGCTACAGGAAATGCTGTACTTCCTCAGAGGTCATCAGCACTAGCTAAAGCTGGTGCCGGGTATAGTGGTGCACACCTGTAGTCCCAGCATTCAGAAGGATGAGGCTGGAGGATTGCTTTGAATTTGAGGCCAGCCTGGACTACACAGGGAGACCTTTTCTCAGAAAAACCCAAAACAAAGAAAAAAACACACTAGCTAAAGCTAAAACTGAATTTTCTTTCAGTAAAACTATCAACATGCTGGTAGAAGTTGTTCTAGACCAGTGGTGGCAAACCTATGGCACCCATGCCACAGGCAACTGTTATCACTGAAAGCTCTAAAAGCTTTGCCATCACTGTTCTAGACAGTCAACAGGTTTGGGGGTACACTGGCATAATGTCACAATGAGCACATCCAGTCCACGCCAAGCCTAGAAAAGATGTTTGCTTGCATCCAACCTTTTTACTATTATTGTGAGACTTGGCTTTACCTCTAAAATCTGATTTCTTTTGCCATACTGACAGCCAGTCTCAAAGAATTAAGACCGTCTCCAACAAGGTTCAATTATTATAGCAAGTCTGTTAACTCTACAGTCATATTTACTATTCCCCAGTCTATTGGTCAGGGCAGGCACACAATGGACAACAGCAGGGCTCCTTAACAGTTAGTGAATGGCAACATAAATAAAACTGCGTAACTATCAAACTCAGAAATCACAATGGACATTCCACAAAGACACAGCAAACAAAACTGGAGACAAGGAGATGAAGTGCTTAAGGCTAACAGCAACAACCAGCAACAGAACCCATCAACTAGGGCTACACAAATTAACCGGCAGCGTGCATATGTTCTCAAAATGCCCAGGGAACTATCTACCTTCTCAGCTACAAGCACAGAGGCAGGTAATAATACTGACAGGAGCAGTGTCTTCCATTTTCAATATGAACAACCTGTATGTAAGAAAAAACATTCCATTTGGGGTACATCCCAGAAACTCCCAGGAACCTAGGACTTAAAAGGAAGATATAAAAAAAAGGAATAGTAGGTATTAAACATAAACTCTAAAAGAAATTAACTTTCTCTCTACAGTATTCTAAGTTATGAAAATTTAAATATTCAAACTATTTTCTGGACTAAAGCAGTGAATGCTTCGTGTTGCAAACAGTGTTGTGACTGGGAGGAAGTGACCTGTGTAGTGGAAGTCCCACCTTGCAGAGAACCTTGGCCATCTCAAAGGTGCCCACAGTATCCATATTGGCAGCAATGATGGGGACGCCCGTGTACATCTGTTTTGAGTTCCGAAATGAAAAGGATCTTGTGAGATCCACCTACAGATATGAACAAGAAACGGGCTTGTCACTCATCCGGAAAGCAAGTTTCACATTAGGACACGAACCAGGCAACTTTTTTGATCCTGCCTGGCCTACAAAGTGCACAGGACCAAAAAAAGTAAGTAGACAAGAACCTGGCTCACCTCGCTTCGAGACTTGAGGGTGCTGCGTTTGGGCCTCAACAGCACATCCTTGAAATCCAGTTTCACATCGTTGTCAATATGAGGCATGGCTGGAACTAAAGGGAGCCACACACTTGGGCGCTGGAAGGCTGGAAGTCAGAAAAAGGGACTTGAACCAATATCCCCTTGGGCTTTAATGCCCTGCTGGATTGCGGGCAGGGGCCCCTCTCTCCGCTTAGTTACGGAGGCCTGGGTTGTAGGTCAAGGTGTCCTCCCTCAGTCCTGTGGCCAGGACCGTCCTGTGGCTGCGATTCCCTTTGATGCCCCCATCCCAAGTATTAACTGTTGGAACTGCGATGGGGATGTGAGTATACCCGAGTACATTTCCTCCTCCCGCCCCTGCAAAGATCAATTTGGAGCAAAACCTGACTTAGGAAGTGGAAAGAATGGTAAGGTCTCAATCAGTTTCCGGCATAGGGGTACTCACTTCCTATCGCCTTAGCCAAGGTGGCAGTTGACCAAAAGATCCCGTAGCTTAGCAACGAATCCGGTGCAACCCTGCTAAGTCTTGTGAGCCACGCCAACTGGTTCCGCTAATTGCCTGCAGGAAGGCTAACGGAGGAATTCTACCTCAGTTGGCGGACCTGCTCAGTCTTCTGGGTAACAGAGTTCATACACAGGAGTCTTTGCTGCATCCGGGCGGCGGTAAACTACAACTCCCAGGGTGCAACGGGCCGAGCTGCCTCCTGGCATGATGGGAGAAGTGGTCCCTTCGGTCCCAGCTTCTTGCTATCCTTAGCTTGGTAGAAACTCAGATAATCGTGGGGCTTCATCACTGCTGTAACTAAGGTGGCTGCCTTCCTTTTATTTACGACGTCATTGAAACATAACGAGAGCTCCTTCTCGAGTCGTGAACCCTGCTGAACGAAGGGGGAGGTGGAGCCGCCGCGTGACCCGGAAGCAGAAGTGACTTTCCTAGGCGTGCTGGGAAGCCGCAGCTGTGCCCGCAGCGGGAGACGCACGAATTTATCCGCTTGCAACCTCAACCGAGGAAGAAGATGCTAATTAAAGTGAAGGTGGGAGAATTTTCAAGCTATCCAAAACTCAGTGGCACCTGGCTGGCCTCCGCGCCTCAAGGGAGAAGTGGGGACAGCCAGACACGCTTCTCCTAAGCCCGGAGGGCGCAGGCAGCCTCGGGGTGCCGCGCGGGGCGCGGTGGGAAACAGAGGGACCCCCGAGAGCTTTGAGAGCCGCAGAATTGCCCCGCTTGAAGAGCCGGGGTCTCTGCGGTCTCTGCTCTCTCGCCGGGACTGCTATGACCCAGCAGGAAACCGCTTTTCTCCGGGCTCTTCTTTTCGAACCCCCGCAGCCATAGAGAAGGCCTAGCAGCAGCTTGGTTTCCCCGTCTCGGATTCTTGGAAAAAGCTCTGCGCTCCATTCTTCCTTTCCAGGTTACCTGCTTCTCTCAGTCCCTAACATAGGCTGCTTCGAGCGCAGCGCTAAAATATTAGCCTGAGAAACTGGGCCCTCCCAATGGCTAGGCTGGGACACTGCTGGTATAGTTGGCAAGGTGTGGTATCACAGCCAACCTTCTGTGCTCAGTCAGCACCTGCCTTTCTGAACGAGGCATCGAGAACCAGCCTCGCTTCCTTGGCTGAAGCTAGTTACCGATGCTTTTTTGGAACTTGGGGAGGGGGGGAACCCTGATAACAGATGCAGTTTAACACTACTTAGCCTTTTTATAACTAGGTCTATCATTTCGTCGGCTGTTTTCTCTACATAGTAGCAATTTGGCTTTTTTTTTTTTTTTTTTTTTTTTTTTTTCTTCTTTTGAGACAAGGTTTTCTTTTTGTAGTTCAGGCTGGTCTTGAACTCACTCTTAGCCCAGGCTGGTATCGATTTCACGGTGATCCTCATGCTTCAGCCTCCGGAGTGCTGGGAGTACAGGAGGTGAACCACCATGCTCAGCTCTCTAATCACAATTCTTAAATTTCTTTTCTGCAGTATTTTCAAAATACCTCCTAGCTAAGGCTTGAGGCCCCAAATTATGTAGAAGATCATTATTTTGTAAGTTTTGAGTGGTGATTTATAAAAGAATCTATGGCTTTTATTTTTTTTGGTACCGGGAATCGAACTCTCGACCTTCCTCTTGCCAGGCAGGCGCTTACGCCACTGAGCTATATACCCAGCTCCTAAGCACCCTTTTAAAAGTATAGAAAATAGAGTACATGGCTAGGTAAGGGGATTATTTTGTGAAACTTGTTTTTGTTTTGTATGACACACGTGTTACTAGTCCATATGTATTTCTTAATGTGATTCATTGTCAGAATTTTGAGAAACACTAACAAATGCTTATGCATTTTCATGTCTTGGTTGAAAGAAGAGCTCATTACTGTGCTTTTACTGTGGATTTTTTTGTTATTTGTTTTTCTTTGAGACAGGATCTTGCTATGTAGCCCAGGCTGGCCTTAACAGGATCTTGCTATGTAGCCCAGCAATCCTCCTGCCTCAACCTCCCGAGTGCTTGGATTACAGGCATGCACCACCATTCCCAGTTTTTGCTGTGTTTTAAAAATTATTATTACTATTGGGAATTGAACCCAGGGCCTTGGCACTGAGCAACATCCCTTCCCTTTTTTACTTTTTGATTTTGGGACATAGTCTTGCCAAGTTGCCCCTGCTGGGCTTGAACTTGCAATCCTCTTGCCTCACCTTCCCAGAGTGTCCTCATGTCTCACCCTCCCAGAGTGCTGGGTTCATAAGCCTGTGCCACCATCCCCAGCTAAAGATTTTAATTATTTAAACTCACACTAAGAAAGTTTAGCCATGGCCTTTTCAGACAAAACAACTTACTATGTGTGACACACTTGTGATATTTTCCATTTAATTAGGTTCATTATTCACTGATGGGTTGAGATCTACAGTTTAAATAATACAGTGTTCCAAGCCAGGCCTGGTTCCAAATGCCTGTAATCTCTGCACTCGGGAGACTGAAGGAGGATTGCTGCGAGTTTGAGGCCAGCTTGGGCTACATAGTGAGTTCAACACCAACCTAGACTACACAGTGAGACCCTGTTTCTAAAAGTAAAATAAATAGTTTTTCAGATGGACTTCTCAAACTTCACAGTGCATAAGAACTGCCTGTGGGTCTTGCTGAAATGCTGCTTCTGATTTTGTGGGTTGGATCAGGCACAGGAATGTACATTGTAAAAGTGCCAGGAGCTGTGCTGGTCCACAGAATAGCTGTGCTTTGAATAGCAAGGTTTTAGATTTTGTCTCTTTCTTTGAATCTAATTTTATTTACTCCTGGCTTATAATTGCCAGTCTTCTTTCTATACTTTTTGCTTTCTAACAGATCTGTCTGTCCTGTACCTTTACTTTTTTTGCTGCATTTCTTTCCTTTCCTTTTTCTTTTCTTTTTTTTTTCTTCCCTGCATTTTTTTTTTTTTTTTTTTTTTTTTTTTTTTTTTTTTGGTCTTTTTGAGACGGTCTCGCTATGCAGTTCAGGCTCACCTTGAGCTCACTTTGTAGCCCAGGCTGGTCCCAAATTTGTAACGATCCTCCTGCCTCAGGCTCCCAAGTGCTGGGATTACAGGCGCCACCACGCCCGGTTTATCCCTGCATGTCTGGAGACTTGTTCTCACTGTGTAGTTCAGGCTGGCCTTGAACTCACTATGGAGCCCAGGCTGACCTCAAACCTGCAATAATCCTCCTGCCTCAGGCTTCCAGATGCTGGGATTAGAGCTTTGGGCCACCACTCCTGGCTCTGCATTTCTTTATTCATTAAATGCATATGAAAGCAGTTAGTAAGCTTTTAATCACAATATAAATGTACCTTTTGTTAGGGTTCTTTTGTGTATTATTTATATATCAATTTTAATCTCTGTAGTGGTTTACTCGTTTCCTTTTTTAGTATTACTGGGCATTGAACCCTAGGTGCACTGAGCTGTATTTATTTTGCTGTTGCCCATGTTGGCTGTAAGCTTGTGATCTTCCTGTCTTAGCCTCCAGAGCATCAGGGATTACAGCTATGTACCACATCTGGATGTAACTGACCTCTTGTGTATGTCTCTGTAATCCTTTACAGTTAACTCCTTCCTCATGTAAATTCTGTCACTTCATTTCTGTGGTCCTGTCATCTTCCCTATGCCCACCTCATGATAACCCCATTAATCAGTCTGCCTGGTATCTGGACTATAATTCTTTAGCATGATTTCCCTTTTATAGGACCTCATTTTTAATGAGACCAATTTCTGCTTATTTTTCTTCCTATTACCCTCATTCTGGTCATATCTTTATTTCTCTGTGATACTGCCAACCAGGTTTTCCTACCGCCATCCCCTCTCTAAAGTGTGTAGTTTAAACCAAGATATGGCATACAGAACCGTATTGTACACATCTTCCTTCAGCTTTTTTTTCATCCTATCACTGCCTTACCCAGATCTGCATTGGTTTCCTGTTGCAGATTACTTTGGCAAAGTTGTCTTTGCTATCTGAGCCCATTTCTCTCAATCTTTTTTTTTTCTTCCAGTACTGAGGGTTGAACCCAGAGCCTTCACACTGACCTACATCCCAACCCCTTTTTATTTTTTATTTATTTATTTTTTGTTTGTTTATTTGTTTTTGTTTTTTCTTCTGGTACCAGGAATCGAACTCATGACCTTGCACTTGCCAGGCAGGCGCTATGCCACTGAGCTAAATCCCCAGCCCCTTATTTTTTATTTTGAGACAGGGTCTAGCTAAGTCACTAATTTCCCCAGGTTGGGCACAAACTTGGTATCCTACTTCAGCCTCCCAGAATGCCACCATGCCTAGGAATAGGCACAATTCTTTTGGGTTTTTTTGGTACCAGGAATTGAACTGAGGATCTTACGCTTGCCAGGCAGGTGCTTGTGCCACTGAGCTATATTCCCAGCCCCGGCACAATTCTTAAGAGTTGGATTTTATGAAGGTTTGTTTTGTTTTGAGATACGATCTTGCTATGTAGTACAGGCTGGCCTCGAACTCATGGTGATCCTCTTACCTCAACCTCTCAAGTGCTGAGATCATAGGCATGTACCACCACACCTGGCTCAGTGAAAATATTTTTAAATTTGTAGTTACTCAAATTTATGCTGTTGTTAAAAACTCATTAAAAGCTGGGCGTGGTGGCACAGGCCTGTAATCTCAGCACTCGGGAGGCTGAGGCAGGAGGAATGCTGTTAGTTCAAGGCCAGCCTGAATTTGGAACCCTGTCTCCAAATATATATATATTTTTTTCACCACTACCCCTCAAAAGTTCCATAGGTTAGTTTCACTTGTTCTAGAACTTTGTATAAATGAAATTATACAATATAGGTTATTATATTTAGTGTCTCCTAGCATAATGTCTGTCGTTTCTGTTGTTCCTTCTTATTACTGAATAGTGTTCTGTTAGATGATTATATCATAATTTGTACATTCTCTTTATCGGCATTTGGATTTCCAGTTTCTGCTTTTTATGAGTAAGGTTTCTCAGAACATTGTTATATAAGTCTTTTTGTAGCAAATGTTCTCATTTCCTTTGGATAAATACCTAGGAACAGGCCAGGCACAATGGTGCACGCCTGTAATCCCAGCGTTTGGGAGGCTGAGGCGGAAGGGTTGCTGTGAGTTTGAGGCCAGCCAGGGCTACATAGCAAGACCCTGTCTCAAAAAACAAACAAACAAAAATCCTAGGAACAGAATTACTAGGTAACATCAGAAATACATGTAACTAAAAAGAAATTGTAAACTGTTCTCCAAGAAGTGGGACCATTTTACCTTCCTATAGTGTCTAACCTTCCTAATTGCCCCACACCCTTGCTAACTTTTGCCGATCTCAGTCATCAGTGTTTCTGGGGGTCTCGTCCCAGTCAGGCTTAAACTGAGCAATTAGTTTTCACTCACCCTGGCACTTTATCATTGGCCCTTATATTTGATAGTAATACTCAATGTGACACTTCCTTCCATACTAGTTTCTTCTGTTTTGTATCACATCTCTTGGTTGTAAACCCTCACTTGAAGAAGGTTGTTGGCAAGGCTGAACTGCTTCTTTTCCATCTCTCTAGTGTGTAGGGCTCTCTCAGGAGAGAGCAGATATTGTTAAATAGCACTGAATGTACTGCCAGGCCATAGTGATCATATTTGAGCAAACACATCCAGATTGACATGATCAAGAATATTTTGTAAGCTGGGCATAGTGGTACAAAGCTGTAATCTCAGCTATTTGGGAGGCTGAATTTTTTTTTTTAGACAGGGTCCCGCTATGCAGTTCATGCTGACCTTGAGCTCACTTTGTATCCCAGGCTGGCCTCAAACTCACAGTGATCCTCCTGTCAGCCTCCCGAGTGCTGGCATTACACTCATGCACCACCACGCCTGGCTTGGTTTTTTTGTTTTTAGTTTTTTGAGAGAGAGTCTCACTGTGTAGTCCAGGATAGCCTCAAACTCCCAGCAGTCTTCCTGCGTCAGCCTCCTGAGGGCTGGGATTACAGATGTGTGCCACCACACCTGGCTGGAGGCTGATGATTTCATACCTACAACAAAGAGAAGGGCTTGTATATCTTTCACCAAGCTTCAAAAATTACCATCTCATGGATAGTCTATTTTACTTATACTCACAAAACTCCCCTTGCCTGGGGGGCTGGGGATTTAGCTCAGCGGCAAAAGCGCCTGCCTGGCATGCGCAACGTCGTGAGTTCGGTTCCCGGTACCGGAGAAAAACCAAAAACCAAAAAATAAAAAATAAAAAAAAACTCCCCTTGCCTGGTTTTTTGAAGGAAATAGGAAGTTGGTCATAGTGGCACACACCTGTAGTCCCAGCTCTCAGGAGGCTGAGGCAGGGGGATCACAAGTCTATGCCAACCTGAAGAACGTACTAAACCCTGTCTCAAAATAACAAAAATAAACAAATTCTTGGGAGGATTAAGAGTGATGATGCATGTAAGACACTAGGCATGGTTTTTCTTCCTCAGAAAGTATAGTAAATGTTAACTGTGATTACAAAATGATCATCAGTACTTTTAGCCCTTCCACAAGTATTTATTGACAGCTTATATATCAGAAACTGCTTTGCGTTTGGACTAGGAAGATAAATTGAACAGTCTTTGTCCTTTAGGAATTTGGAATGAGGCTGGAAAAGTTAACATTTAAACGACTTGCTGCAATTGGTAGTAATGGAAGTCTTAATAAAGTGCATTGAGGATAAGTCCTGGCATCATACAGGAAGAGATCTTATATTAAAGGTCCTTGAAGTTTTGGATGAAACTTTAGACCATAATGTTGAGTGAAATAAATCACAAAACACAAGCTTAAATATCACATAGTTTCTCTTATATGAGAAACCCAAAGTAAATGACTTAAAGCAACAGACAGGAAAGATAATAGGAAAATAGAGATACAGCTTTTACAGGGGGAGAGGACTGAGACACGGACGGAAGGGAGAAGGGGAAATAAAAAGAATTCAGATGTGTTATGAACATGTATCAACCCCTAAATGAATGTACAGTGTAATCACTGCAGTGCAGACGAGATGGGGTACATTCAGGGTAGGATGGGCACAGTGCAGTGCAAACGTGTAGTAATAAAAAAAAATTTCTTTTTAAATTGTCAGGTGTGGTGGCACACACTTGTATCTCAGCACTCAGGAAGAATGCCACAAGTTCGAGGTCAGCAACGCCAGGCTGAGTTACATAGTGAGACCCCTTTCTCAAAAAAACAAAAACTAAATTTTTTTTTAAATTGTCCATAGCTGTGGGATACGGTAACACATGCCTATAATTCCAATACACTTGGTGGCTGAGGCAGGAGGATCTCAAATTGGAGCCTAGCTTGAGTAACTTAGTGGCTTAGGGAGACCCTTTCTCAAAATACAAAGGCCTGGGACTGTAACTCAGCGTGAAGGCCCTGGCTTTAATCCCCAAGACTTAAAGGGAGAAAAAAGAAACCACAGCATGAAACTCTTTGCTGAACACAAGTACGTTCAGACCTGCTGATTCTCCAAACCAGAGGTCCTGCAAGCCAAGCGTGGTGGTGTTCGCCTGTAATCCCAGCCCTTGGGAGGCAGAAGCAGGAGGATCACCATGATTTGAGGCCAGCCTGGGCTACATAGTGAGTTCTAGGCCAGCACAAACTACATAATGAGACTCTGCCTCAAAAAACAGTTTCTGGAAATGTGCATCTCTTACAAGACAACAGATCCCTAAAGACCAGGATAGGAAGTTTTACCTAGAAATTTTCTTTTTAGATGTAGGACTTATGAGACCTTCATCTGTTTCAGACGCTGACCGGAAAGGAGATTGAGATTGACATTGAACCCACAGACAAGGTGATGTATGCCCAGCGCCTCCCTCTGCCCTTCTCTTCTACTCTTATTTGAAACTGCGTAGGAGTCTGTTCCGTTTAATCCCATTCAGTCTGCTTAGCCCATGTTCTTTCTGTTTCCGTGGTTCTGTCCACAAGCTTCTAACCGCTTCTAACCACTTGTGCCTCTTAAGGTGGAGCGAATCAAGGAGCGCGTAGAGGAGAAAGAGGGAATCCCGCCACAACAGCAGCGGCTCATCTATAGTGGCAAACAGATGTGAGTCTGAAAGGAGAATGAGGGCATGGCAATGTTTGTATTGTTTTGTTTTACTTTTTGTTTTTTTATGAGACAGAGTCTCACTGTGTAGTTCAGGTTGGACTTGGACTCACTATGTAGCCCAAACTCATGGCAATCCTCCTGCTTCAGCCTCCCGAGTGCTGGGATTACAGGTATGTGCCACTACACCCAGCCGGAGCAATCTTGTGTGAGATGAGGAAGCACATACTGGAGGTGCATTGGGTTTGCTTCTTTGTTGTTTTCTTGGCTTATTTTTTCAGTACTAGGATCAAACCCAGGAGTGCTTACCAGTGAGCTACATCTCCAGCTTTTTATACTTTTTTTTTTTAATTCTTTTTTTCCCCCATTCTCCTATCCTCCCTTCAACACCTTAGCTTGTGTTTTCTGGTTAATAAATTAAGTAAGGGGGCCGGGGATGTAGCTCAGTGGCACAAGTGCCTGCCTGGCAAGCATAAGGTCCTGAGTTCAATTCCTGGTACCTAAGCATTAAAAATAAAAAAATAAATAAGATCTGCTGGGTATAGTGGCACATTCCCGTAATCTCAGTACTCAGGAAGCTGAGACAGGAGGATTGCTGGGAGTTTAAGGCCAGCTTGCACTACCTACCAAGATCCCCTGCCAAAAGAAATAAACTAAGACTAAAACGTGGGTCTAATAACTGCTATAGTTTTCAAGATACCTATAAACAGTTGATATATAATATGAAAATACCTACTTTCTATTAACGAGTTATTCCTTGCTAATACTACAGTGCTATATTTTTTGCCTATGTAGAAAAGAAAAATATGACAGGAGTTAGTAAAAATAAAAGATAGAATTCTTTTCTCATCCAAGTACCAAAGAGATCCACGAAAGGTTAAACACTGCTCTAGATGGTATTTCTAATGCTTTTTCCCTCCCTGCAGGAATGATGAGAAGACAGCAGCTGACTACAAGATTCTAGGTGGTTCTGTCCTCCACCTGGTGTTGGCTCTGAGAGGAGGAGGTGGTCTTAGGCAATGATGAGTCTTCCTTCCACTGCCCCTCCTTACCCTGTCGCTCATAGTGAAGTGTATATTCTGTCACTGGCTGGGACACCCGAGCCGTTGCCCCCGTCTTGGCTGCCCAGTCGTGTGTGTCTACTGGTGGGACACCGTGAGGACCCCAGGATGCAGTGTTCCTGGCCCAAAGGGCCCTCGCTGGCTATTGGGTTTTAGTTTGCAGTCCTGTGCGCTTCCCTTTCTCATGGCTGTGTCCCTGGTTGTCAATAAAATATGTCCTAGCCTCCTAGAATCATCCTTTCATTGCACAAAGGGGACTGAAATCAAACTGGGCCCAGTGCTAAGCAGTTAGACCAGGTGGAAAAAGTCGGCCCGCAGAACGGCTGCGGCTCAGAGAGGGATTGGCAGACTCCAAGACGCCAGAGCCACCTCTCCCTGGCTCCTGGGAGCTGATCATTAGCACCTCTTCCCAACTCCACGTTAAGTGACTCTGCTGTTAGCTTGAAATTGGCCATGGTAGCAATATTACAGGAAATGTGGAACACTAGGAATCAGACTTCCTCTTCCATCGGGTCATTACGCATCTAGCAACTTAGCACTGATATTAAGGACAAGAGAAACCAGAATAAATTCTCCTATGTGCCTTTGTTAGACAAATGTGCTTTGTTGAGAAGGCTTGAGGGGCTTTATAGACACTACATTTTTCGAGGGTTTTGCTTTGTTTAGTTTTTTGAAATGGGGTCTCTTGCCCAGAATAGCTACCAACTAACTTGTAGATTCAAATGATACCTGTGCCTGGAGTAGCTGAGCCTGCAGGCAGGCAACACTGCACATTGGTGCAGACACTACTCCGTATGGATGGGCTCCTGCTGATGCCTCTGCAGTTTACATTCTCAAGATGCTGACGTGGAGCAAAATGGAAATAGGAGTGGTAAGCTTTGAGGGGAATATCTCTGAATTGAGAAGATAAAAAGATACACAGCTACAAGAGGACAGCCTTAAAAGGTGTGCTAGTGCACACCTGTAAACCCAACACTACCTGGCTGAGCCAAGAGGATCCCAACTTTCAGCTCAGCGTGGACAAATGATTACTTAGCAAGATGTTCTTTTAAAAAAAAGTATAGTACTACCTCAGTGCAAGGGCCTAGAGTTCAAGCCACAGTACAGGAATAAAAGAAGAAGCAAAAGAAAGCCTCTAGTACATAGCTTCTCTAGCGAAACTGAAAGCTGTGTGGGTTAAGGAAGAGAAGACACATAGAGCCTGTGCCCTGGAACCCTCAGCCCAGCGCCAGGAGGCGCTCTGGCGCGGTCGCCCAGCTGGTGCCCGATGCCGGCGTGGCGACGCTCTAGCAGGCGCTTCTCAGTGGCCGGTCCGCGGCTGCACAGCGCTCAGGCTGGAGAGGAACCCCTGGCGCGCGCGCCTGGGGGGGGCCTGCAATGGCGAGGCTCCCAAAGCTCGCAGTTTTTGACCTGGGTGAGAGGCGGGTGGCGAGTCCGACTGGGCGCTCTCCCGAGCCTCTCCCCGCGGCAGCGCAGGCCCTGCGCCCGCGAGGCCGAACCTTCCCCTCCTCCCTCCGCAGATTACACGCTCTGGCCTTTCTGGGTCGACACGCACGTAGACCCTCCGTTCCACCAGAGCAGGTGAGGCCGGGACCGGGAGGACGGGACCGGGCGGCGCAGGGCAGGCCCGGCCTGAGCGTTCTCTCGCCATCTGCAGTGATGGATCTGTACGAGATAGGCGGGGTCAGAGCGTGCGGCTGTACCCGGAGGTGCCCGCGGTTCTGGACCGACTGCAGGGCCTGGGGGTGCCCGTGGCGGCCGCTTCACGGTAAGAAGAGAGACTGTCAGCGATCGCTGCTAATACTGAAGATGCATGCACACCGAGACTTTGCATGTGACATCCTGGGTCAGAAATAATTGAGGAGGTAAACCGCGCTAGCGGCCTAGGCTTGTCATCCCAGCTACTCGGGACGCTGAGGCAGGAGCATCTGAAATCTGAGGCCAGCCTGGGCAATTTGTCCAGACCTTCAAAATAAAAAGGTCTCGGGATGTAGCTATGTTCATTCCCTACTTTAAAAAGGGGGGGAAGGGACCAAGAGAGGGTAAAATGAAATGATGGAGGAGAAAAAGAATTACGATGTGCTCTCCACCTGTACCAGTTCCCCACAATGAAAGTAATCATTATGTACTACAAACATATATTAATAAAAATTAAAAATTTAAAACGCAAAAGTGCAAGCTTGCAATTCAACCCGGGTCGCACAGAAGACTGGAGTTCAGTAAGGGGCTTGGGAGTCTCTCCATCCTGGAAAAAGAGCAAACTGGTTTCTGCTGCTTCTACTTAGCTTTCAACCGCCTGGCCCTTCCCTCCTAAATCCATCCATTATCCCCTTTTGCAGGACAGGTGAGATAGAAGGGGCCAACCAGCTACTGGAGCTCTTTGACCTTGTCAGATACTTTGTTCATCGGGAAATCTATCCAGGCTGCAAGGTTACACACTTTGAGAGGTAGGTGTGTGTGTGTGTGGGGGGTGGAGCTGGGTGGGCCCAGTGCCAGCTGCTTACCCATGGCTGTCTGGAACAGGTTGCATAAGAAGACTGGAGTTCCTTTCTCACAGATGATCTTCTTTGATGATGAGAAGCGGAATATTGTGGATGTCAGCACACTGGGTACTGGGTAGTGGCGCTAGCCTTGGGGGCTGAGGGAAGGTTCCTGGGAGGGATTAGTAACCATGCACAGGGTGGATAGTCTGCATGACAGGGCACACAGCAAAACGGGAGAGTACGAATGGGAGCTGTGACAGCTTGATGCCATGGGACTTTTCCTTCTAGGTGTTACCTGCATTCACGTCCAGAACGGGATGAGTCTTCACACCCTAACTCAAGGGCTAGAGACGTTCGCAAAGGCCCACGCTGGGCCCTGAGGTCCAGCCCTGGGATGAGCCTCGATGGACACCTGACACTGAGAGGAGATGAAGGCATTCTCAGGTGCATCTGTACTCTATTAAAGTACACGTGTGTGACAGAAAATGCCTTTCCACGGTGTGGATCGTTTCTATTTGCTGTTGGGACCAGCTGGTTGTCATGAGATGCCCTGACCAGGGTGCGAGACTTTTGTTTTTTGAGTAGGAATATTTTATTGAGAGAGATAGCTCCAGGGAGACAGGAGGGGCCCGAAAGTGGGAGGCCCAAAAGTGTGACACGTTGCACCCACGGGGCCTGCCTTCTACACCTGTGACACAGGGTGCGAAGCAGAGGTCATGAAGAATTCTCTCTGCACTTGGTGGTGCTCTTCCAAAATACACTTCCTTTTAGGGAGCCAAGACAGTTTGGGGGTGGTGCGGCCTTTCATTTAGTAGAAATGAAGCGGCCCTTTTAAGAGGAGCACATCAGGCCCGGCCCTGGGCTATGGGCAGTGATAGTGGTTTCTCTGCAGCTGACCGTGATGTCACCTTAAAAGGTGGTGCACAAAGGAGGGACAGGCTGAGACCTTGAGCTCTGAGAGCGACCATCGAAGAGCAAGGCAGAAGTGTGGGCCACCAGCGGAGGCCAGATGCTCACTGCTGCTGCTGGCACCAGAAGGTCCCCTCTGCCTTTCTTCGCGCAGCCGCAGACAGCGCTCGGGGCCCAGAGCACACAGGTTTGGGAGAAGGGGACGTGCTGGTTCCCCTGCGCAGGCTGGGGGACTGCTTTCCAGCTGCCTCCATCGGCCCTTCCTAAACACTGATGCGTACTCGGTGCTGAGCAAGAGACACCTAAGGGGAAGAAGAAAGATGGCTTCTTGAACTCAGGTCTGGAGTGAGGACAAGCAGAAAGGCATTTAGGGCGTAGCACAGAAAGTCAGAGCCAGTGCTCCCAGGAAACCAGGCAAAGGCTGAAGCAGAAGTGGGCACTGGAGTGGTTGTTGCACAAGACCAGCAGTTTCCAGGTGGAGCAGGAGGTCCTCGGGGAACAGTAACGGCCTTCAGTGACACAGAGGCAGGGAGGCTTGTGACACGTATGGAATAGACAGGCTGTGGCTGCCTGCAAGTGTGTGTTACAGGGTGTGATGTGTAATGGATTGGGAGAGACGTAGGCGTGAGTAGGGATCTAGAGGTAAACATTGCTAGAGATGAAGGCCCAGTAAATCTCCCGGAAAACCGTTGAACTTGAGACGGTGTGGTGCACAGGTGTGTGATCTGAACACTTGGGTGGCTGAGAATATGCTGAGCTGTACAGCAAGACCCTGTATCAAAAAGTCAAACAGAAAAAAAATGTTTTCAATTTTGTTCCTTGGTTTTGAACAATTTTAGCAGTAAAGGCCATCAGGGTTTTCTTTGAAACATGACTGCTTGTTGGGAGTGTAGAAGATGAAAGGAGGAATTGAAATCAGAAAATTATTTTCATCAGGCTGGGGATTTAGCTCATTGGCACAGTGCCACCCTTGCAAGCACAAGGTCCTGAGTTTGATTCCCGGTACCAAAAACAAACAAAATTTAAAGAAAAAAAACCAGTTATTTTCTCCAGCACCTTGTACTTCATTTAGCGTGCTCTGTGCGGTGAGGACCTTTGGCGTCTCCTACACAATAGATATAACAGTGTCGTCCGGAAGTGATCAGAAATGATGGAAAGGGAGCTGGGAAGCCTGGGAAGAATGTTGGCTTTTAAAGTCAGCACTGGCACATTGTGACTCCTGCTCTCTGTGCGACTAGTTGTGCTTTTAGACGAAACACCGTCCTTGTGGCTGTTTTCCTATTTGTGAAGTGGAGATAGTGTATTTAGGGTTGAGAATCACTTGGAAATTAGCAGTAGGACAGGTGCCTAGCTCACTACCCTCTCAATGATTGCGGGCCAGTACTTTTCTTCACACCATATGGGCTGCTCCACCGACTCCTCAGGGAAGGACAAGGGGCCAGTCCCCAAAGAAGCAATGGAGAAATGCGAAGAGGTGGGGAAGATACTGATCAAGAAACGTAAGTTTCTGAAGGAGAAGATTCAACAGAAGTTACAGATGACCAGGAAGCTTGGGACCAAGAATAGGAGAGGAAAGGAGGGAAAAGAGCCTCTGGAGAGGGCCAGGCCTGAAGCAGGTGCTTCTGACTCAGATGTTCAGATCAGGGTGAGGGCTGGCTCAGCCACCTGCAGGCCTGTGGAGAGTGAAAAGATTGGAGCAGTAGCTGCCACAAACCCATGGGACACTATCCACCCAGGAGCTGAGAGTATTACCACCAAGTCCTTCGTGCCATGGAGCTGCAGCCCAAGGCATGAAGAAAGCCCACCAGGGGTGGGGTGAGCGGTGGAGGGGACACAAGTGCTGGGCAGGGTGACTTGGTATTATGCTTGGAAGCTTAAAGCCTCTCTGAATGTGAATCTACATCATGCTTATGACGACCAGACCTGTCCCTCCCTCCTGGCTTTGGAACAAAGCTCCTTTTGCTGACTGGGGCATTCTAAGGAAGGAAGAGATTACCCTAGCAGGCTCTGGGTGTCAAGCTCTTGCTTGCTCTAATTCTCAAAGAGCCTGCAGGGAAAGGAGTGCAGCCTGTGTTCCCCAGTGTGACTTCTTGCCACTTCTTCGCCCGGACTTGCCGCTCTCCCCACTTCTGGCGTGAGCTACTCCTTGTAAGGCCACAACCAGGGAGGGCTTCATTCATGTAAGGTCGTGACCTTGTGGTCAGGAGAAGGGGCTACCTAAGTTCTTGGCTCTGTGTCTTATTCTCAGGGACACTGACAAGGTGGATGAACTGATGGCTGACATCACAGAACAACAAGACGTGGCCCAGCAGATCTCAGGTGCTATTTCTTGGCCTCTGGGCTGTGGAGTTGATGTTGATGGGGTGACTCAGGCAAGGGTTCACAGAACACTGGACAAAGCAAGGGACTGGCGAGAAGGAATGTCTAGGAGAGGCACATGGGACAAGTTTAGGAAGGAGCTCCAAAAGTGTTGTTTTGGAACTGGATGTTTCCAGTGCTAAGAGTTTTGACATACTGTATCTAGGATGAGTGTTTGGAGGAAATACAGGAGCTGGAGCAGGAGGCATTGGCCCAGGAGTTGTTAGATGTGGTGACAAGGAAGAACCACCCCTGTCAAATTGCCTAGTGTACCTTCCACACATCTGCCTGCGGCGCCACGTACCCAAAGCTATTCATTATCTTTGGGACTTGTGCCTGTTTGGAGCAGTTTGGGGTAAAATGATGGCTCAGTCATACTGCTACGAAAGAAGGCTGCTGTTGTAGTTGTGCAGGTTGTTGACTGCATAATGGGTTGAGACTAAAGGGAGCGGTGCAGAAATCCAGGCTCCAGCCTGAGCTCCACACAGCAAGCTGCACAGCCTGCTTTAGGGCTGAAGATGCTCTAAACTACAGAGACCTTCCTGACTTGCATAAAGATTCTGTGGCAATGAGCAGCAAACCAGCAAGCACCTCTAGGTCGCTTGTGGAGAGATTACCCTAGCAGGCTCTGGGTGTCAGAGCAGGGCATAGCTGGAGAGTGCTGAGTCATTAACATGTCCTTCTTCTCTGGCTGTCTTCTCCCCCAGCTCCCAAAGCAGAAGACAGAGAAGAACTAGAACAGTTGGCTGAATGGGTATCCTGATGAGCCTGGGCTTCTCTTCCTACAGCTGCCTGCATTGGTCCCTTTGCCTTAAGTGCCAAGTGCTGACTAATGGAGCATGGTTGTTAGGGGAGGTTCCCGCAGTGCTAGTGTGGCCGTGTCTGAGAAAGGGCATCTTGCCCTCCTCTCCCTGGCAGAATGCTGACGTTTCAGAAGGATGTTGCTTTACAAGGCTCCCCTGAGCGCTCTTCTATGTGAAAAGTGTTACAGTGCCCTTCTTCCAGTAAGTTGGGTAGATGGATCCCACCCACCTGTACTGTTCTCTCCACACCTATGACTCATACACCAGTTCTTGTTCTTCTTTTAAAAAAATTTCTTAGTTTGTTCTTCCACAGGTTCTTTGATCCTTATTTCAAGCATTGATTTATACTGAGAGTAAAGAAATGGAGCTGGATCCCAGCACTCAGGAGGCTGAGGCAGGAGGATTGTTGCAAGTTCGAGGCCAGCCTGGTATACAAAGTGAGTTCAAGGCCAGCCTGAACTGCAGAACAATACCCTGTCTCAAAAAGACAAAAAAAAAAAAAAAAAAATTGGGGCTGGAACAAAGTAAGCTATGGGTTTTGCATTATTTCGACCCTGTGCTCAGAGGAGACAGTTTCATCTTTTATGTTGGTTTCTTTTAGAGTTGCCTGTTACTAAGGTTCAGAAACCGCCATCATTACGTGTCTGGAGCCATCTCGAAGTCTTCCTCACTGCTCCTTTAGTCCCGCCTCTGTCAAGACAGCCCCATGATTTACTACCCACTTTCCTTTTGCAAAGCACATTTTCAGGGATAGGGAGAAAACAGTAATGGCAGGGCAGGTCGGAGTCCTTTATCCAGAAACCATTGTTGACTGCATTTACCACTAAGAGGCGTGGTTAGATCTCTGTCACTTCCAGTCACGTCTGTGTATGGGAGTAGTGGTGTAGGACCTGGCACACTGGCACTGTTTCCAAAAACGTTAATGTGGCAATAGAGGAGGGAGAAGGAACCAAGGGGCCAAATACACCCTAATACACATCTGTGAAAGACCAACTGACACCATCACTTTGGAGTATAGACAAATAGAGCCATAGTCAAAATGAAACAACCGGAGTGTTTGCCCACCCATCCTTGAACGTTAGAGAACACAGGATAGAAAATGAGGATGGACATACTTAGAATAACAGAGCTTGCAAAATCCAAAATCAGATGCTGAGTACCCTTACCCCACAGATGCACTGTGAACCTCGCACTTGGCTGAACAGAGGCCAAGGTGACTGGTTACAGGTTCAGAGCAGAAATCCAACTCTGTGCCTAGAGTTTTCCCACTGACATATCCTTTAGGAATGAATATCTTTGACCCTAGCTGATAATTATGTAGCAAACTTGGGCTGGGGATTTAGCTCAGCGGCATAGTGCCTGCCTGGCAAGCACGAGGTCGTGAGTTTGATTCCCGGTACCGGAAAACAAACAAACAAACAAAAAATTGAATTTATTTTCGATGTAAAGGATCTGTCAACCCAATCCCTCCTGCTTTGCTCCTCGCAGGCCCTGCCTCCACCATTTTCAGCTCACTCCAAGGGTTGCTGCAGATTCGTGGTGTTGGGAGACTGGTACATGGCCTCAAGCAGCTTGATCTCATAGGTGGGTGGCTCAGGCTGAAATTTGAGCACCCAGGGGTCCTTGATGATGTCCAGGATGTTGGCTCGCTTGGCAGCTTGGCATAGCATCTGGAGGATCAGGTTCTAGGGCAGAGGAGAAAGGTTCACTGAGTTTGCCCTCATCGTGTCACACAGGCACTGAGCACTGGGCCTAAAAATGAAGCAGGACAGCCCATCATGCCAGGCTGGTGGGAGGGGCTGTGGGCCTGCTTCTGTGCTGGAGGCAGAGCCAGGCATCCCTGCAAGAGGACAGCTCATGGAGGGAATGCCTCGCATAAAGCCCTTCCGGCCTACAGGGACACAAGCTGAAACATGTTTGTAAGCACAACTAGGACTGATCCTGTAAGCCCTCCCCACTCCTATGGGAAGAGGGCTAGAGTGTGAGATGGCTTCGTTGTGAGAGGAGCCTTCCCCCGGGGAGACCGGGGGCCTAGATTTGGTGTTCGGTCCCCTCCATAGATCATCCTAAGCCTCCGCACCTTGCACTCCTGGGAGACGGCATGGCTAGGTGGGAAAGTGACCTCCTTCTGAGTCCCTCTCAGGAGCTTCTTGAGATTGGTGTCATCAAAGGGCAGATGAGCGACCACTAGAGTGTAGAGGATGACGCCCATGCTCCAGGTGTCAGACAGGAAAGGGTTGTAGGGCAAGCCCCGCAAGATCTCCGGACAGGAATAAGCAAAGCTGCCACAGTAGGTCTGGCTGAGTTGGGAAAGGATGCTCAAGCGCTGGTAAGAGGAGCTTCTTTGGCTGATCTGGTTAGAAGACACCATCTTGGCGAAGCCGAAGTCTGAAATCTTCACGTTCTCCTGCTTGTCCAGCAGCAGGTTTTCCAGCTTTAAATCCCTGCCAGTAGCAAAGAGGTTGGTGATCAAGTTAAGAATGCTTACTGTGAGACCAGGCATTGAAGGGCCAGGAATCAGAGGCTAAAGATGAGAAATGGCAAAGTAAAAGAGAGATCTGATTATGACCGCACAAGTGAAGGAGCCATGGAATTGTGAGCAGAGTGAAAGGGGAGACAGGGTGATGCTAGAGGACTACTAGGAGTTTACTGCACACAGTATATTTATAAGTGTCCTGGATCCAATGATTCAACTGGATTGGATAAATCAGCCTCAATATGGAGCAGGGAGACAAAGAGAACAGGGCAGAAAAGAGGCCGTGAGTATAAGCCCCCCTTGGGAGCCCAAGGATCCCAGTTCAGGTGGTCATGCCCTCACCGGTGCACGATGCCCTTGCTGTGCAGGTAGGCCATGCCCAGGGTCATCTGGGAGAACCACTTGCCAGCAAGGGGCTCAGAGCAGGCCCCATAGCGCTGGATCCATTCAAGGACGTCACCACCCTGAGCCAGCTCCAGAATGATGTACACTCGAGATGTGGTCTCAATGGCCTGATAGAAGCTGATGAGGTACTTGTGCCGCAAGATTTTCATTACCTGACCCCAGAAGAGGCAGCCATCAAACCTGGGAAAGGAGAACCCTGGCTGTACTCCTAGCCGTCCAGGATCCTCCCCCTGGCATTTTCTCAAAACTTTACAACACAACCAGCCCTTCTACTTCTATGGGCAGAAGGCCTGAGCCAAACCGTTTAGACTTTTAGGGGGCTAGAGCTGAGTGCGTGGGAAGCAGGTTGGAAATATACCAGGGAAGTTTGCTGTCTGTCT